TCTTAATCCTTCAGGCGCACATGTTTCGCAATACTTATCGTTATTCAACTCAATAGATGATTATTAAACTCAATTAAAATGCTAGGCGGAGAGCGACGTGGTGGGAATGGGCGACCAGTTTTGTCCATGAACCCCAAAAGCTGTAATTAATACGATTGCGCCAAGATGGATGGGTGAGATAAGAAGCTCGAGGGCTGCACGGAAGCAGTTGAGATACGAAGCTCGAGGGCTGCACGGGAAAGATGGATGGATGAGATACGAAGCTCGAGGGCTGCACGGAAATGGTGGATGGGTGAGATACGAAGCTCGAGGGCTGCACGGAAGCAGCCGAAAGTTAGACGCCTAATAAACATTCCATCATTTTTCAAAATCACACTTTCCTCAAGTAAATTTACAAGATCAATATTGTGAAAGTTTTTTAGTGCATTTTGAGATGATTAACAAGCTCATCTTTTGTTCTGATACGAGATCATCAACTAAGCAAGCTGTCGCTAGTAGGTAATGCTCAAGACTAGTCCAAATCGGTCACTAATGTTTAGACTACTTCCAAGCGGCCACAAATGATGCTCCAACTAATACTAAGCGGTCACTAATGCTCAGACTAGTACTAGCGCTATAATACTCAACCTAGTTCCAACAGGTCGCTAATGCTCAACCTAGTTCCCACAGGTCCCTACCGGCTAATGCTCAACCTAGTTCCAACAGGTCACTAATGCTCAGACTAGTTCCAGAAGTGCACAGTCTCTTCGGTAAAGCGCGTGCAGAGTGCAGATAGTTCGGATACTAGCAATTGTGACACGCCAGCCTCGTGTTTATGCACATAATTGAAATGAACACACGTGAAAATTCGTTATTTTTTAAGCATGCAATTAACTCGAGTATCAATTTGCACACAATGGTGATCTTTCCTTTGTCTGAAATTATAAATACAAGAACAGTACATCGCAATGCCAAACATAGAGTTGCAATCAAAACTGTTTATGATATAAAATATCTAATATAAGGGAAGATAGTGCCGTGGTTTCACCCTTATAATAATATACCGTAGTCGATTAAAATCAGTATACAATGGAAATTGGTGTGGGGCTTGACTTCACGGTTTGGTTTTAGTAGACCTTCCCATAAGTAGAGCCACAAGAAGGTCTGAACGCACTCTGCCAGAAGGTAGAGCAGTGCCGCGCCAAACCAAACACGGGAGGTAGACGCGCTCCTTTGCGAGAACACATTCTGCTAACAAAGATGTTGTTAGTATAATAATATTATATATTATAATATATAGAAATAATATCCGTTTCATATCCCAGGTGCCTCTATGAAAACGGCACTACCGTAGAGCAAAAAGAAGTATAAATATAGACGAATTTCCTCTGCATTTCAATGAATATATTAAATACGTTGGAATAGTAGAATTCAAAACAAATATACAGGAGAAAAGAATTAGTAGAATATGCAACTCCACATAAGACGAAGCTGAAATAGATGGATTATTCGTCTTTACATTCTACTTGTTATATTTCTAAATTTAAAATGGTCATTGTAACTATTGCGTTATAATGAAATTCGCTACCAAAAAATGTTGCATCGATGCTTTTTAAAAAGTTAGGATACTTTCCGATAATCTTCGGACTTTAATACTGCGGCTTAATTGGCTTCCCCAAACTTTTTGCCATCAGCTGCCATTTGCAGGTATGATAGTCACCACCAACACTCTATATTAACCATTAATTCGTATCATTCGTCGCATTTTCATCTACTAAATTCATTGATCACAAGCGCACTCAATAAATTTACTGTTTAAATTTAATAGTAGGCCGCTGTGATCAAGTTAGTAGCATGTGACTTGCCTATCATTTGTCATTGCTTATACTTCATTTGTCACTTGCCTTATTTGTCAGTAAACTTTTTAATGCTTGATTAAAAAATCGTTCCTCACCCCGAAAGTGCTAGAGTACTACTTGAATTGTTCTCGCGTACCATAATTTTGTAACCTCTTGTCTTTTGTTATTAGATAATAATAATAATAGATAATACATTAAAAAGTTAATAGATTATTAGAAAATTAAATAATATAACAGACACTCGTTGATGTTATTCCTATATTCGTCTGCAAACTAATGGTCTAGTAAAGGCAGGGTTTTTGTCTGTTATTCTCACCTGCCGCAACATGAAGATGAGTCTGCAGTTGTGCCAGATGTAGACGAAGTTTAGACATCCAAGTAATGTANTAACACACTTCTACATGTCCAATCGATCTGAAAATTTGCACACTTGCGTATGGTCGGAGACAATGCTTGAATTAATTGACAGAATAAATTATTTTAAAAATGCAAAAAAGTTAATATTAAAAAAATTAGAAATAATTTATCGATATTTAAATTTAAAATGAGAAATTCATTGTATATGTGTAACTTCGGAGACACTGGCCTATTTGGAAGTGTTTTCTTTAAAAAATAATTTTTAATCTAATATTATTCTTGATGTTGTCAATATTGTGCTTGGACGTGGCACTGAAAATTCCAAAATTAATTCCATATAATTCAAAATATAAATGAACGAAATTTAATGCTTTGCCATGACGAATAGAATTATAGTACTACGTGACCTTTCAGCAAATATATAGGGCAGTAAACACGCAAAGAACTGGAAATAATTTGTTAGAATATCATTCCAATATTCAACCTTCAGTTTCTAAGCATTACTCCGGCCGGAATTAAACTTAGGCTCATTGTGAATTTTCGAAGGAACTTACGGTTGATATGTAGCCCCAAGCTTCAATACATGTCTTTTTCTTGATCGCCATCTAGAAGCAATGTTGGGATCTTTATTGTCAGTGATTATGAATGTGGCAGCAGCTCGAGTGTTGTATACAGCACTACCAAAGTACATTTTAGCTCTTCACACAGCACCCTGCATTTAGCTACCATGGTTGAATATTTTCTGCTGAAAATCAACAATTTTACGAACTAATATTCTAACAAACACCATATGTCGTCACCCTGCAATACATTTGATCTACCAAGCGGCGTTGTATGTAGTAACCGCACGCACTCGGCTGCACTGACTCGTGGACTCGCAATTTCGTAGCCGCAGGGCCTGCTTCGCTATCTTTCCATATCAGTCCGTATCTTATCTATTTGTTTCCACCAATCTCACTTCCTATTGTTCAGTGGATTATGGTTCACATGCTTTAAAATTCAAAGAATTGTGTACACCACAGTAAAACTGAGGGTTTTGTTCTCTTTTGGTCATGAAAATGGTTCGGCTAATAAGAGGTTGTCACTGAGAAATTGTTGACGTGTGAGATTATAATGGAGACAAACATCCGTCACCACAACTAAACGCCATGATGAACATGAGATCACTCAGTCTTTGAGTTCATTCCTCCTAGAGCAAGACGTTGCTAAGATAACCATCAGTAATTATCGTGTTGGCCATCATTAATAAATGTCATATTCGCGCCTATATAACGGAGAGTTCAAGTTCTCGGCGTTTCTTAATTAATTGTCACATGTTTATATTTTTTGGAAGTGGACTGAACCCTAACTGAGTTCAACTGCCCTTCTCTCTTCCTCACCGGGGCTAATCCTGTGGAGGGAATAATAATGTTTTCCTCTGGGCCAAAGTGCCGCCTTGGTTTTACTAATCCCACATTTCATCACACGATTTCTACGACAGCCTAAAGAATTTACATTACTTTTGAAACAAGTTTCAAAGAAGTTATTTAAATGCACCAAAGAAGATAGCGTTGACTGATTTTGACTTCTGTAGAATAATGAGTGTCGCATTGCCTCCATTTGGATGTTGAACAACAATAAAGATTCTTTACCACCTAAAACGAGATTATGCATTAAATTAAGAACGTTCGCAAATATATATGAAGATTATGATGCGATTAAATATCTATCTATGAGTCCTAAATTGTTTACATATATTTTCGCCATTCAATAACGTGCTCGTAATTACATACGACATTGTTACAAACGCTAATTTTCGCGCCTATTTCATGTGGACTTATTCATTCAACCTGAAATATTGCAATAATATAAACAATTACACTTAAATAATAAAAGTGCACTTAAATGCAAACGGTACCTCACTCGCAAAAAAATGGACCATGTTGTCCAGTTAGTGAAACACTTGCTGTGTGCAGCACTGATACGTCCTTTTTTACCAAACTGGATCAAGATGACCCACATAAGGTCAAAAGTGCATCGCGTCTTTTGATACTGATTCTGTCAAGAAACTGACATCAGCTTCTGCTAAAGAGTGGATAAAACCATAGCAGTAGCAGACTCATGACAGAAGACGAAAACATTTCTGTACTCGACAGGCTCTTGAATCTGAATATCTTCATACGCCAATGCTTACATAGACTCATTAATTTCTCCTAGTGCAATGGCTACGTGATTCGGAATGACGTTTTCGTAAATAATATATCGATTTTAGTTATTATTATAGTTGCAAATTATGTAAAATATGAACCACGCAAATATAGTAGGTAATTTTTAATCCTAACAAACATAAATTTGAAATCAAGATACAAGTTTACTTACGTATTTTCCTGCGTAATATTCATCTATGCAACTGAAGTTATGTAAATAGAATAAAAATTTGTTAATGAATATTTTTTATTTCGCGTCAATGCTAATTTGTAGAACTTTGCTGTTTTCAATTTACTCAATTGATTTTTATTTACATTAATTATAATCAGAGCTTAAGTCAAGGCTTACATTCAGGATTGTTTCTCGGCGATATACTATATTGACTTTAAAATAATCCATTTGAGATATGATTACTAGTCTACATCAATCAATACAAAAATATTTATGTCGGTGCAGTGATATTGTGCTTCAGAATGGCTATTTTTTGCTGCAAAGTCTAATTAACTAATAAATATTTAATTTGGGCTGTTTTGGCTTTTTTTTGCGAGCCAAGTTGGCCGTTTTTCGGCGAAGATTCGAGAGCTGCGAAAGGCTTATTTTGCTGCCCACTTGTGAGCTTTACAAGGAAGTTGTGCGCACTATCTCTTTCGCTCTGCTTAGCAAGGCCGACAGCTTATGTTCTATGAATTCTATATTTTTCGAAATATGATCAGTCTGGTTGAAAAGGGATAGAATCTCATCCTGAATATGTACAACTATTTCTGACATACGTTGTGTGTTACTCAAGCCCTCAGAATCACCAGCTGCGTGAATTTCCGTAACACTTTCGTTATGACCAGCAAGTGTCAATGGAGGAAAGGCGCTTCGGGACGAGGCTGACGACTTTGGCCGCACTATTGAAACTTTCGTTTCATTTTCAACTTCAACATTGTTCCTAATATTCAAATCTTTCTTCGGTACGTTGACTGGCTCAAAATTCACATTTTTCTGCATTTCGTGCATCATTTTCTCTATTTCTTCTATGGAGAAAGTTCGTAATTTATTTTCGGTGATTATTGCCGGAGTTCCGGTAGACGATAACAACAGCTGGTCCTGTGGTCTGGTAGGAAGAGTATTTGTCTCTGGAATTACATGGTCGGTGCTAGATAATTTAATTCCTGAAGTAAAAGATACGTCTATTCCACTAGTATTTCCATTATTGTTGTTGTGAATTCCGTTCCCCGGTGACTCCTGGACCAGCTGCTCCGAGGCAAACGCCTCATGGTCGCCAACGAGCGACTTCTCTGCTGCAGCGCCCCCACTTTTCCACAGAGTTAAGTTATGATTTTCATCAGCAACGTCGTTCATTTCGTGTTTTGATATAAGTTTGGGAACAAGGCTGCTAAGATTATTGCTGGACAGTAGCTTATGAACATTCTGAAAAGAAGTGTCATTTGATCCGTCCGTGGTGCTAGTTTGGTTTGCAGCGTTATATTTTTGATTGTTGAGCAACGTGCTTCCTTCAAACTCTTCCTCATGCAGTTTTACCGGCCATTCTGTTACTGTTGATGTCTCATTTATATTGAATTCTAAATGTTTGTTAGTTAATTTTATGCCGATTTCGTTCAGGTGGAAATTTGCAGTGTTATAGACGGGATTGTCGCTTTCTAGTGGTTCGTTTAACTCGATTTTTTCAGTCTTCCTTTCTAATATAATCGGTAACAACTTCGGACGTGCATCCGATGACGTTTTAGAACTTTCGGTGGCTTCTGCGAATTCTTTTTTGTCTATTGAACCGATTTCATATGACATCGTTGCGGTTTCTAGAGTATCGGGAACACTAGCATTTTTCATGGGTGTTTGATACTCATTTTTCATAAATTCATTCTTAGATGACATTGTAAAATTGCTGCTCTCATCAGTTACGTTTATGTTTATGTCACTTGGTACTTTAGAGTAAAATTCTTGAATGTCCCTCATTATATCGGCGTACGGATTTATCTTTCGAGACAAGATGGACAGACTCCGCTCGTCATTTCCGGACGCGTTCCGTTCAATAGGAACAGATTTTGAGTCTGTGACATTCATCATAACTGTGAGATTGCTAGGCTTTTCCGTCATAACATGCAGTTTTTCATCAGCAAAAGTACGTGGATTGTCATCAGGTTTCGTTGATTGATCAGTGGAGCTGCTCCATTCATCATGATGACTTTGAGAAGAGTTTAAGTCTGACGTGGTCAGGTTGTATCCATTTTTTTGGCCAACAGTGTTGTCTGATGTTTCATTTATTGTGGAATTTGAACTTGAAAATTCTCGTTCTGTTGGCCGGATTGTGGAATATGTTCTGGAGTCATCAGTTCTGTTGAAATACATATAACGTGATAAAAATTATGCAATAATTAAATTGTGGAATATATTTTGGAGTCATAAGTTCTGTGTAAATACAAAGAGAATGATAAAAATAATGTAATAATTAAAATACAAAATTTGTCTTCGTCAACTTATAATCAGAATTGAGTGGACATATATTGACTCCCAGTATCTCACCCGACAAGCGCGGTAGCAGACGACGCATTCGTCGGCAAACTCAATGTGTCAGTCTGCACAAAAAAAATTATGCGTAATGAAAAAAAAACACAGAAAAATTATGCGTAATGAAAAAGTTACGTACAGACCACACGACGAAAGTTACGTGCTGACTTCGCGATGAAAGTTACGATAATTAACAATAACTGAAGTATTTATATAGAAGTATAAATGCTGGGAAGAATTTTTTTTACAATATTTGCAACTTTTTAACGTGGAAACATGAAATGGAAGCGTGAAGTTTCATTGTTTTTCCGTAATAAGCCATCATCGTCATGCACTGAATCAGGGCGAGCTCGCGTTAGATAAATTCATTAATAAAGCACAAAATATAGTATTTTCAATCCGTACGCGTCTGAACAAAAGTTTTATTATAAGTTAAATTTGTGTTGTGATACGCATGGCCTTGTTGTCACAAATGGCGTGAAGTTTCGTTCAAGCACGATAATTAATTTCTAATTTACACAGTAAAGACATAAATCAGACTAGGTTAGAAAAATTTTTGTATAAATTAAAGATTTGATTCATTTCACGAAAAATATCGAGGATATCAATAGAATTAAAAAAACAACACCTGAAGTCCCAAACATGTGAGATAATTTAGACTAGGCTTCAAACTTGATTTGACAATAGTCTTTTGATTTTAGTTTAAATCTAAAATAAGGGCATCATCGCGCTTCCAGGTGTAAAGCGTTGTGTCCAAGTTAAGAAACAACTAAGTCTTAAATAAAATTATAATAATTCTAACAAGAATGTCTTCCCAAATCAAAGCGTTCCACGTGAACATATTGATCAGAAACCTTAAATGTACAATATTTGAAACGGGAACTGATNGTTCCAAAGGCAGGATCCCTTGTGAATCAAGTCACGAAAAGTTCAAGAATCGGCAACAGGCCATGGGCCTATTTCTTCAACGCCGACACTTCTATTCTATTTTATCATTATCTTTGAGGTCTAAACATCCATTTGTATGATTTTTAAGTCCTATAAAAGTTAATAGAAAATACATTTCTAGTTAATAATAAATTTAAAAACAAAAAATCTCCATGTAGATTCACAATACACAATTTTACAACGTGTACATCGGCTTCATCATCCGTTGACAATTATTGTAAAACATAATTGATCGTAAATAATAATTTCAATGCATTTCACTCTATTAATTCTATACAGAGCTGGAACGATTGTATGGCTTGCACACTGAACTTCATGCAGAATTTATGACAGGAAAAAATAAGTCTTTTACAGTGACTGTAAGAATATTATAAGTGTGAATCCATCTGACGTTGAAAGATATTTATGTCAACGTAACTTTAAATTTGAATTGATTTTATTATAAAATGCACCCAAAACCCAAGCTTCATATCGATCTCTTTTCAAATCAGCTCTAATGGATGAAGCTTGTAAACCTAAGGTAAAATGAATAAATTCGTCAGAATTCTTATAAATGTTGGTTAAAAATTATTAACTTATATGCTACTAAATATTTCATATCTTCCTTCTAGTAAAGTAATAATTACGAGGGTTATCAGTTTGAATTTGTCCAATACAGCTTTTTGTGAGGTTCGCTCCAACTGTCAATCGTCTACTCACCCAGCGTCGTCTCCCACCGTTGTGACAACCGAATGCCATCTCAACTCGATCAGAGGACAGATACGGCGCACGGCAGCGACTGTGAAGCCTTTTATAAGTTCACAATGAGGAAGCATTGGAGCTTGCATTCAACACAGATCACATGTCAGGGATGTTGCGAGAAAGCCATTCATCTGTCACAATAAATAAACGATCCCAACAGATTTTACGAACTTTGTAGCTAAATTCAGTCAATGGTGATTAGTACGAAATTACAAACTTCGTAGCTAAATCCAGTCAATGGTGATTAGAGAAATATTTCCTGCCATGTAGGCTTGTGGATTTGACGATCCAACGCTTTAACATGGTCCATAGAGCCAAAATTTCTGACACTTGTACAAAGCCAAATTTTTAGGTAGACATTACATTATTCTTAAGAAGTCTCTTATACACATCT